TCCTCGCTCAGCCAGTGAGCGGCCGGTCTGTATGTGGGATCCGAACCCTCGGCGGGAGCGCCGCCGCGCTTCCCAAGCGGCGCACTGTAGCAGTGCGCCCCCGGGCCGGCCCCTAGGCACCTTCTTCTACCCCACAAAAGTAGGTGACCACAGACCTCCACCACCACCCTCAAGAGAAGATTAAAGATACTGAATGTGGAGGCAAGGACTCAGAGATCAGGCATAGTAGAGAGTGAGTGAGACATGGGATTGAAAACGGGGGATTTAAGTGGAAGACTACATGACAAACAGCTGGAATTCCAGCCTCCTTCCTGTGCCCTGCTGTTAATGACATCAACCAAGACTATACCCCCAGCTAGGAGACTGGAGGATTCATCTTTGGAGTAACTGACTGGCCCCAGGAAAAAGGTCTATGCATACTGACAAAAGCTTTTATTCCTGGTCACCCCGTTGAAGTCCACCAGTAAACAAGCCTGGCTCATGCACTCAGTTTTCAAATGATTTATTATTTATAAGTAATAAAAGACACCCAAGGATCACAGACATTTGATGAAGGTGTCAAACCCTGAATATTATCAACTTTTAGCTCTAATTTCCAACTTATAGGAAATACAGAGGATAGAGGAACAAATTAAATGAAACCATCAGGATGCAAGATGACAAAATCTAGAATGTGGGACGTTCTACAGGACAACTCACCTGGTCTCTTCAATAAGTCAATGGCATAAAAAAAAAAAAAAAGTATGTGGGAGAGAAAGCAGTTCAAGATTAAAAGCAACTTAATTCTGATTTGAATAAACCAAGTATAAAAAGACATTTGGGGGAGACAATTGGGGAAATTTGAATAGGGACTAGATATTATACTAAAGCATTATTTTTAATGTTAGTATGATATTGTAGTTGTATAAAAAAATCCGTTATTTAGAGATGGATAATCAAGTAGTTAGAAGTGAAATGTCATGATGTCTTAGACTTGCTTTAAAATACCTTAGCAAAAAAAGTTAGATAAATCAACTATGGTGAAATGTTAGGAATTGTAAAATCTAGATGATGGGTATATATGGTTATGTTATGTATATATAGTTATGTTCTGTCTTTTATGTATGATATTTTATAATTTTTTATAACTAAAAAAACTGGGCAAATGAAAAAGAGTTTATTATTAACTCCTGGTGGGGGGTTATATAAGAAAGAAAATGTGATAATTGGTTATTTATTTCAGCAATAAATAACATTTACATAGAGATCATAATGTAACCACCAAGTATTGATTTCAAAATTGGGAGGAGAGAAAAGTTGCAGGAGGAGGAGGAAGGGGATATTAGTTTAAGAAACCTAAATTTTTACCTGTCCTATTATAAAGTCAGTAAAAAATTGATAAACTACAAAGGGAATATAAGTATATATAATTCCAGGAAAAACAGCGTAAAGAGTTGAAAACATTTATCTGTATGGAACAGGACTGGAGGAGAAAGAAGGAGTAAAGCAGGGGATTACTGTTTTTCATTATCTTAGAGAAGGGTTAGGAAGCAGAAAGTCACATATAATCTTATTTCCCAGAGACTTCTGTTTTAGTACAATGTGGCTTTTAAAGTCATGTACATTTATTTTGATTCAAATAAAATTAATGTCTAATAATGTCAATAGCTATTACTATATCAATTAAATACTTTATGTTTCCAAAAGAATGTTTGATATGATTAACTCATGATCAAATAAATCAGTCTGTCCTAAAATTATGGAAGTAAAGGTTTATTAAACTTGGATAGCAGAAGAGATCAATTTGTGGATCACATAATTCTGCATCATAGTGAAAATTCACTGTGAGAAACTGAGCTCTAGACGTTACCCATGTGTACAATGAAATGGCTCCTTTCAGACCTGTGATTACTATTAGTAGCTCAATCCTTAAAAGAAATTTTCACATTTTATCAATTTCTTACTTTATATTACTTTACTGTAATTTCCTTTTGCATTTCCTTTTGCTTATACTCACTAGAGATATTTTATAGCTCATACTTTACCTTTTTTTTTTTTTACTTTTTATATCATGTCTCTATTTTTGTATCAAATTTCAACCACAAAACACAGGTAATTCCTTTAAATCTATTGTAAATTTATACCAAATATCACGTTTTGCTTGAACATAAATTTCAGTAGCTGTCCTCATATATTTTGAGCCTTAATTCATTTCTGTTAAATTTGTGTTTTAGATTTAGTACACACAGAGGGGCAGCTTCAAAATGAAGAAATTGTGGTAAGTAAATATAATTTGTAGAGATAAACATTATCTTTAACTAGTACAGTATGCTTAGCATAACTTCGTATAGCATACATTATACGAAGTTATACGATTTACCTTTTTTTTTTTTTACTTTTTATATCATGTCTCTATTTTTGTATCAAATTTCAACCACAAAACACAGGTAATTCCTTTAAATCTATTGTAAATTTATACCAAATATCACGTTTTGCTTGAACATAAATTTCAGTAGCTGTCCTCATATATTTTGAGCCTTAATTCATTTCTGTTAAATTTGTGTTTTAGATTTAGTACACACAGAGGGGCAGCTTCAAAATGAAGAAATTGTGGTAAGTAAATATAATTTGTAGAGATAAACATTATCTTTAACTAGTACAGTATGCTTAGATTTTAAACCTATCTCCATAGTCATAGAGTTAATAAATATCTTCATGATTTATAGATTCTGTACCTAATCAACCAGTAGAGAAAGTTATTCTCAATAACATTATAACCTAATGTAGCATTTGTAAATTAGGCTCTTATCCATCATAGAGAGTGTAACAGCAAGGATAAAACAATTCAATTATTTGTTTTTTATTTTTCTTATTCCTTTATTTTGAAGTATTTATTTGCTTTGCTTTGCCATCTTTCACTTGATTCTGTAGTCCTTTTAGAATAGGAATCAAAAAACGTTGAGATGCCAGAACTGGATGTTAATTTAAGCATGAAAGGACAAGGGAGATTCAGATAAGGGGAATTAGAGCATAGGATCAGCAATAAATAAGCCAGAGAGAGATGAGGTGGAAAGAGAACCAGTATTTTTCGACAACATTCCACTGGGCTTTGCTTGTCAAGTGGAATGAATGTCCATTGATGAGGAAGTTGCTGCGTCATCTGGAGTTTGTCTGTTCCTACTAGCTTGTCAGGCCCTGGTTTTATACAAACACAAAGAAGTAAAACAACTGAATGTGTATTTTTTTAGGTGGTAGTGTTTGTTTAATTAAGTTTTCTCTAAGTGAGGGTTAAAGTGGTACTACGTCCATTAAGTGTACTTCCTCACAACTTGCCGCAAGCTGCTTAAGGAATCAGTGTTTCAGAAGATTCTGTAGGAAGTTTTTGAATCCCATTAATTTCCTTTTCTCCCACCAAAATTTTGCCCAATAACTGGGGTGGCCAGTGGGGTCCAGAAAAATGATTAATTATACTGAATTTTATCATCCTGTTTTTCTCCATCTTTACCTGGAAATCACCCATAACTTTATTACGCAGTCACAACAGCTTTTACTGTACTTATTTTCTTCTAGTTGTTGACCACGTGCATTGCATACTTATAATAACAATGCATGGACAATTTTGTATCATCTGTTTTGTTTACATAACACGTGCTTCATAAATATAATTTAAAAATAACATTTGCCTGTTTGCATACATTTAACCTAATTTTCTTTTTCTTTTCTCTGCCATTATAAGCAATTCACAGGGAGACATTTTATGCATGTTCCTGCTACCACAACCTTCACCTTTTTTATTATTTTCTAAGATTAAATTTCAAGGAGTAGAGTTACTGGGTGCTAGATTATAAACATATGTATAGCTTTTTAAATATATTGCCAAACTGCTTTCCAGAGAAATTATATAAATGTAAAAAAATATAGTCATGCTTCAGGGTAGTATATTCTGAGGCATCATTAACCAAGGGAAACCTCTTATGAAAAATACTTCATGGGCCGGCCCAGTGGCGCACTGGAGAGTGCGCCGCCTGGGAGCACGGCGGCGCTCCCGCTGAGGGTTCGGATTCCATGTGGAGACCGGTTCCCGCTCACTGGCTGAGTGTGGTGCGGGCGCAACACCGAGGGTTGCGATCCTGTTGCCAGTCCCCGGTGTGGGCGCGACACCGAGGGTTGCGATCCCGTTACCGGTCAGTAAAAAAGACAAAAAAAGGAAAAAGGAAAAAAAAAAATCTTCAGAAAGACACTTAAAAAATTGATCAGAAATGTATAGTTGCAATTTTTAGCTCCACCTGCTATTTTTCAGCAAACCAAGGCTGATATTCAGCTGATATGCACCAGAACAACTGTTATATATGGCTGGCCTCTCTTCTGAATATTATATCTTATATATTGTTATATATTCAGAATATTACTCTTGCATCAAACCCTTTCTTCTGCTAACTGCTTATTAAGAGTTAACTAGGAATGCTAAAAGCATCCATATTGATTTTTCTTCTACAGGCACACGATGGCTACGCCACTTACTTGAGATTCATTATTATATCAGCCTTTGATCATTTTGCATCTGTGCATAGCATTTCTGCAGAGGGAACAGTAGTCTCAAATCTTTCTTAGTAATTATAACAAAATGCTCTTGCATGATATTTTTTAACAATGTATTTATTTAAACATGAAGTTGTCATTGATATACTTTATTAAAAGGATTTGTATCAGTCTGTTTCAGTTTTTATTTATATTCTCTTCAGTATTTGGGGCAAAGGAATTCTGGTTTCATCAGTCAGCAGTACTGTCCCCCAGGGAGGGTATGAGGAAACTTTGGCTTCAATATACAGCTTAATCAGGGAAATGACTATACATGAAAATTTAACTGATAATATATTGTGTCCCCACAACATCTAATATGGTGCTCTTCAGATCTCAATGGATTAATTTTCTAATTTATTGATTGATGCACAGGGCTAAGTGAGCAATATAGACAGCAAACAATATAAGCATTCAGAGGAAAGAAAGTACTTGTGGGAAGGTTTTATTGAGGTCATGGAAACTGAGCTGAGGCCTGTAATACAAGTCATTTTATTTTTTCTTTTAATCCTACATTCTGACTTGAAAACCTCAGAAAAGGGTTAGAAAACACATAATCTTAGTTCCCAAAGACAACTATTATTGGTATTATTTTATATTTTATTATGTGACTTTGACTTTGGAAACATAAATAATTACTATAGCCAAAAATTAAATAAAAAAGCAATTCCAAAATATCAAAAACAAACAGAAATGCATGAACCTAACTTTATCACAGTTGGTAAAATAAACACACAGGAAAGGATAATTATTTTAAGTGGCATAGTATTTTGTCCATGCAGTATGTATTAGTTCTTACAGCTGCTGTAACAAAGTACCACAAAACTGGTGACTTAAAACAAGGAAATTTATTTCACACAGTTCTGGAGGCTGGATGTCCCAAATCAAGGTGTTGGCTGGTTTGGTTCCTATTGGAGGTTCTGAGGGGGAATCTGTTCCATGCCTTTCTATTAGCTTTTGGTGTTGCAGGCAATCCTTGGCATTCCAGTCTTTGCCTCCATCATTACATGGCATTTTTCCTATACATCTTCACATCATATTCCCTCTGTGCATATCTGTCTCTGTGTGTCTTCCCCTCTTCTTATAAAGATATTAGTCATATCGAATTAAGGGCCCACCCTACTCATCTTAACTAATTATATCTGCCATGGCCCTATTTCCAAGAAAGCCCACATTCACCACTAGTACTAGGGGTTAGGTCTTCAACATTCCCTCTGTGCATATCTGTCTCTGTGTGTCTTCCCCTCTTCTTATAAAGATATTAGTCATATTGAATTAAGGGCCCACCCTACTCATCTTAACTAATTATATCTGCCATGGCCCTATTTCCAAGTAAGCCCACATTCACCACTAGTACTAGGGGTTAGGTCTTCAACACATCTTTTTGGGGGACACAATTCAACCTACAACACAGTCTCAGTGGAATATGTTTGTGATCATTAATTTTATATAACAGCTTTGCTGGGTCACTGTGCCCAGGTATTTGGTCAGACATTATTCTGGATATTTCTGTGAGGGTGTTTTGTGGATGAAATAAACATTTAAATCAGTGGACTTTGAATAAAGCAGATTGCTTTCCATGATGTGGGTGGGCCTCATCCAATCAGCTGAAGGCCTTAAAAGAACAAAGGTTGGTTGGTCTAGGCGGCCTCAGCTGGGACTATTCATCTCTGCTCCTAGTAGTCTCTCATCCTCCAATAGGCTAGCCCAGGCTTCTTCAGATGGTAGTTTCAGCATTCTAAAAAGTAGGAAGAGAGGGAAAGCCCCAATATGCAAATACTTTTTGAGTCTCTGCTTGCATCAGTTTTTATATTGTCCTGTTTGCCTAATCATGTCATGTGGCCAGGCCCAGAGTCAGAACAAGAGGGGTCTGCTCAAGGGCATGAATACAGGGAGGTGTGAACAAGTTGGGGGTAGAGGCAGTGGGAGCTATTACTGCTATAGTCTACTACAATCAAACACTGTGTGCCTCCTGATGTGATACTATGTGAAGTATACAGACCAACCTATAAAGTACTGTTGCCAGTATTACTGAACCCGAGTCTAATCAAACTCTGGAGTTAATTTCCATTTTCAGGAAATTCAAGGGCTAGAGGAAAAAATGAAATGACACCACAAGGAAGCAAATAGACTAGTAGCCATTAATGCAGCTCACTGAAATATCTAGATCTGTGCTTTCCCTGCACATGGTAAGATACACTTCCTGGTCTTCTCTGTTTGGGTAGTACCATGTGACCAGTTCTGGCCAATGAGATGAAGAGTAGTTGACTTCTAGGCTGAGCATTTAATTTGTCTGCCTGAGGCCTGGGAACCTCAGCAGCTGCCAGCAGCCCCCACCCAACAGATGGCATGAGGGTGCCCAGGGAGCTCAGCAGCCATGGGCAGCCCCTACCACTGCTGCAGACACTGCTTCTGTACAGGTGGTCTGTCACACCCACTGCTGCCACAAGGGCAGCTTGCCACCACAGCAGCAGTCACTACTGCCATGGAGGCAGCCCACCAACCACTCAGCTGCATCAACACAAGGATAGTTACCAGCGGAGCCCAGGGAAAGAGGTGAGTGAGTTCACGCCTGTGACCTAGTGGCCCAACCCACAGAGAGAATTATACTGTTACACATGGTGGCACACTGGGGGGTGGGAGGTTTGTGTCCAGCCCACATGACTGCTTTTATCTGGGGAGAGGCATAATGGAAACGCCTGAGACTGCAGAAACTCTGGATACCCAAATAGAGTAAGAAAGAAAATCCCCAATCACCACCAACCCATCTCCCAACCAGGGGAAGCAAGGACCCAGGAGGAGCCTCTGCCTGTAGGAAAGAGGAGAGAGAATCCCTGCCCAGGGTCACCCATTCAAACTGAGGAACTCTAGTATACCCCAGTGCATCCATCAGGGTCACAGGACACTACCTGGGGTGCCAACAAGCCTGCCCAGGGACACCCACCCCAGCCAAAGAGAGAGTGCAACCAGGCACTTCTCCCAAGAACTCAAGAGCCCACTCAGGTCCTCAACAAACCAATACTGTGTCACTAACC